TAAAGGAAATAAAAGTCAACAAAATAATTCCTAATGATATTTTGCTATACTCATAGACATAGCCAAGTATAATTATAATCTGAGAGAAGTCATCCAGCAACTGGTAGGAACAGATGCAAAGACCCACAGTCAAACAGGTGGAGATTGGGAAATTTCCGAGAAGAGGGGGAGAAAAGATTTGTAGGAGTCAGAGGTGTCAAGGACACACACACACACACACACACACACACACACAGACACACACACACACAAATCAACTTATTTGGGCTCCATAGGGCCTCACAAAGACTAAATTGAAAATCAGGGAGCCTGCATGGGTTTGTGCTAGGTACTTTGCTTATATGTTATGGTTGTGTAGCTTGCTGTTCTTGTGAGAATCCTAACAGTGGCAGCACAGGCTATCTCTGACTTTTGCCTGCTCTTGGGACACTTTTACTCCTACTGGGTTGGTTTTTTTCAGCCTTAATATGAGGGCATATGCCCATTTTTATTATATGTTTCGTGACATTTTTGGTTAATTCTTCAAGAAGACCTGCTCTTTTCTTAAGGGAAATAACGGATGAATTGATCTGGGAAGAGAAAAGGTTTGTGGCAGGGAGACTGTGAAGAGAGAAGGAAGGGAATATGCAGTCAGAATATAATATATGAAAAAAATTAAAAAATAAAATTTTAATTAATAGGAGGAAAAATTTAAACCAACATTATAAAAAGAAAACATCATTGTGATTTACTTATCAACAGGATTAAAAATAATGCAAAAAATCAGGAGAAAATATTTACAAATCAAATGCTTTTAAGAGGAAAGACTCGTATCAATGGTAGACAGAGGAATCTCTATAGAGTAAGAGACAACAAATAGAATAAATGATTGACAGTTAAGGCCATGCGAAACTATTCAACCTCATTCAAAACTGGAGAAAGCACACAAGTTTAAAATGAGATTAAAATTACATAGTTACTTGACTGAGTACATTTCAAGAGGTTCTGTCATTATCAAGTATGTATGGATGTGGATATGCTCTATTTCATCCAGTTTTGATCGTCATAAAATATTTCAATAACTTTAGAAAACTCACACTTTCCCAAAGACATAAATAGACTCATAGAATGTAACTTAGCAACTATATTCATATACATTATAAAGTTAAAAATTTAATTTTACAGAGAGAGCTATACTTGTTCATATATATATATATATATATATATATATATATGTTTAATAACATCAAATGACAAAATCCTGAAATGTCTTTTATCTAGCTAATTGTTAAACAGAAAATTGCATCTGCATAGTTTAGTAATACCATTTGGAAATAAAATTAACAAGCAATTGATGTATTCAAAATAAAAAAGACTCAAGGACACACATTTCTTATACAAAAGGTAATCCAAAAGATTATTTATTACATATATCCTCCATGACAAGGGTATATTAAGAGTGAATACAGTGATTTCATCTGAAATTAGGATTTTAGATAAGGTTTAAATAGTGTACACCCCTCAAAAGTTTATAGAAACACAAGTTCAAACTTCTTGGCTTCATTTGATGTTTTTTTTTTTCTGATCTATGTTACCAAGAATTTTTTTAATCTACTACACAATATTGTGACTCCAAACAGAGTAAAAGGAAAACCTATGAGTAACGTCTGTTTTTAAGTAACTAGCCTCTAACCAAAATCTATTTCCTGGTCTTGAAAATATTGCCTAAGAGAAAAGGAATTTATAGTGTCATCCAGCTGTGACACCAAGAAACACAACTATAAAAACGAAGGCAAGATCACTCCAAAAATGTAACAGGGTCACTTACATATAAGAAGAGGAAAGGATAGACATAAAATTAACAAACACCTAAATGAATTTAAGTCCCATTCAATAAGAGAGAATTCATGCCAGTATTGAAAACCAACTATCCATAGCTGGTTAAACCATGGAACTTTTAGGAGAGTCTAGTATTGACATTTGATAAAGCAGTAGAACTTTCTAAATACTTTCCTACCTCTTCAAAAAGTCTTTTTGCCACAGATTGGGACAATTACAGAAAGCAACAACTAGTCAAAGTGCAAAACATACAAACAATGAAACACCTGAACAAACCAACAACAATAGCAAAATCAGACAACAAAACAAAAAAACAGAAAGAGAATATAGGATGCTCAACTCCCAATTAATACATTCATAACACAGATCCTCTATATAAGTTTCTTAATTTAAACACATTGTGTGGTGGTGGATATTTCTTTTCTCATTCTACAGGCTGCTATTTTATTCTGTTGATGTTCTTTCCTTTGTAGAATGTTTTCCTTCCATGAAGCTGCATTTGTCAACTATTGGTCTTAATGCCTACACTGCCTACATTATAATAGCTATACTAGTAGATTAGTGCATCTCTCAAGTATCATAAGATAAGCTTTATTTTGCAATAGACAGCAATTAATACAAAGACCAAAAATTAATTAATGTATGTATGAGTCTATAGATTGCTCAGTTCTTAATAAGAAATCCATATTGCATTCTGTCTCCCCAAATTTTAAAGATAATCTTGAAGTGAAAGCTGAAAGACTATAACATACTAAGGAAGTAGATATCTGTAGTAAAGTAGTTTTTCCAGCCATGACAGGACAGTTAGCTGTACCTTTTAACTCAAAAAGTCTAGAAGACACACAAAGATGAGAGGAAAGTTAGGATATGGGATATGAAAGGAATTAGAAGTAATAGAATGGTGGGGGAATCTAAACAAGTTGTAAAAATGCATGAATGAAATTAAAAATAAAACATGTCATATGCTTATACAAAATCCACAGATTAATGATTATATATATATATATAGATACATATATATATATATACATATATATATATATACGTATATATATATGATGAAATGTAATTTGTAAATACACTATAGTTTGTTATTTATTTACTAAATAAAAGAACACTTCACTAAATGCTTGCTTTACCAATAGTCAGTGCTTGGCTGCTCAATAAATCCATTATAATTCAATCTTTTACTAGATATTCCACTCATTGAAACCAAAAAGCAAGATAAATGGACTCAACAATCTGAAAATAAAAACTTTTACAGAAATGAACTTGCCTTCATTATTTCTTCTCACAAGTCTCATTTTTTCCAGGCCAGAGTATATTTTTTATGCATAGTCATATACTAACTGTATTCAGAGTTCTGTATTTCTACTTGGCATACATAATTTTCTCATGATAATTTAACAATATAGTAGCATCTTTGAGAATATTTTCATATAAATTAAATTGTTCATTTTATAGGTAACTTAAACACAAGGAGAAAATTTCATGATACCCATTTTCATAATAAGATTGCATTAGTAAAATTTCTTATGTAAAAGGAAATTGAGTGGAAAATTTTAATCCTCTCTAATTTTTACAGTCTGTTAACCTTTATACAAGTTTTTGTTCTTTTCATTATAAGTCTACTATGACTGACCTTAAGACTCAAGTTTCTGTCTGAGTTCAGGGTAATTTTTAAGAATTGAAGCCTGGATCATATAAAAATGACATAGGGACTAAGAAAAACTATTACATAAAAGTACAACCAATAGTTCTTACATCTGCTATCAATTAATTCATATGCTATCACCTCAAAAGTATAATATTATTGAAGAATAATTTAGAAAAAAATAATAGGAACTGACTTGACTAGGATCTCAGGAGGCTTTAGGAAATCTGCAGCTACAATCCAGGGCTCTTAGGATGCTGTGTCATACATCTCTGTGAAATAAAGTTGGACATAATATACTCAAGTAAGCAAGACATAATGAATTTTTAAGATGCATAAAAGTTCTTTTAAATATCCATAGCATATTCAGGAGAAGACATAGAGACTAGGAATAAACAATTTGATGTAGATTTTTCAGACCAATATTACCATTGATTGCAACCAATAAATAAAGCAATGGAATCTTAGGAACCTGATACCTGCTTTATTAACAAACCATTTATGTCCTCCATAGTATATCTCCTACCATAAATTTCTCATTTGAAAGGATTGATTTGTAAGTAGTACCTGGAAAATGAGAATTTAATTTGATATCTGAACTTCAAACACTGGGAGAGATTCCATACCATGTTTCCCTGTCTCCAGTCAGTTCATTTCATATTTTATAAAAGATCCAGAAAGTAGAGGGAACTCCATGCTATATTCAGAGTCTGAAAAATAGCTACACAGTGTCAGAAAAGTCAAACTCAACATTTCTCACCAAAGAAATTCATGAGATTGTGTGGACAGTAGTTCAAATCACAGATTTTATAGGCATAATACTGTCTACTTGAAATAAAAAATGAACTTTGTAGGGAAACAAGACTATACATCGTAAGAAAAATTCAAAAATATATTAATATTACATAATATAACTTATTAAGAAATCATAAGTTGTCAAACCGCTTCAATTGTGATTAAAACCTTCCTTATTGCCCAGCTACAAAGAGTAATACTTCTTATTTTTTCACATGAACATTTGGTGTCTCCAATTTGCATTACATTTTTGTTTATTCAATTCTCATGTTAGCATCTCATTGCCTCATAATGCATATTTTGCTAGCATTAAATTACAGTGACATCTTGATATTTGCTTGTTACTATGTCTACATTTTCTTTAGTGCTGTTTGTATGAATCTTATGCTCATTCTATAAAATTGGATTTCTATTCTTTATATGTATTAGATAAATCTTTGTTACTTTGTCACTTTTCATTATCATGGTAATGTTTCTGTAATATTTTAGATAATGTGTTGCATACCATAAAGCATTTCAAGTTTTGAGAAATTCTAATTTATTATTTTATAAAAATACCTCTTTGATATCATATTTAATCGCTCATTGAAAAATTAAAGTCATGCCGATTTTTCAAGTTTCTTCCCAGAAGTATTATAATTTTTCATTTTCAGTAAACTCATTAACTTTTCAATATTTTTATAAGTTGTGAGTACATATAGCAAAATTATTTATTAGTTCCCAGTATCATTTTTTATGTGCACTATGCATGAAATGGATTTGGACACTGAGCCAGGCATCAAGCTAGAATGAACAAAGAAGCGCCATCTGCTCTTCCCTTGACTGATATAAGAACAACCCCCAACAAGTGTCACTTTGCCCATTGCTGGGGGAGACAGGGCAGAAGAGCTTTCAAAGAGTATTTTCTTTACATTGTTTTTTAAAAAAAAAAAACAACAGCAACAACAAAACAAAAATAAGTCAGTTACTTATATTGATGATGGTATAATTTGATCTGTTCCACTGATTCATTTCCGCAAAAAATATATATTCTCCTTTAATTTTGCCTTATCCTGAAACTCTAAAAGCTTTTTTTTTTTAACAATTCTTTCTGTACATTGTTCCCTTGTTGCATTTTCCTGTTTAATTTCTCCAGGCTCACATTAATTCTAAAGGTTAGCCTGCACCCCAACATGCATAGTAAAGCCTGACCAAGAGAAGCCATTTTTACTTCAGAGGATGAGTAGGAATGTAATGAACAGAGCTCTTCAATCAGTGGTAGGGCCATATGGTGTGGGGCAGGAGGGGAGCGAAGGCAAGTTGTCAATGTGTGGGATGTGAAAAGAAGTAGGTGTCCTTCAGCATGTGCAATATGGACAAGCAGAGGGATGGTCCCAGGCTGAAATATTTTACTCCTATTGCATCTACTTTCTTCTAGGACTTATACTTGTTGTCTACAAAAGCAGTTTCATTGTCTGGATGGACATAAGACATGTAGCACAATAATATCTTAGATAAAGGCACTAAGTATACATTTTTTTCTCATGTAAAAATAATCTACAAAATAGAAAGTCTGGGTATGTTTTTAAATTATGCTTTTCCACAGACATGGCAAGCAGACTGTAGAGCCAAATTCCTTCTGTTCTGCTGATGAATGTCCCTTTACAAAGACTTTGTTCCCAGATGGCCATTCTATCTCTTCATCTACCCCTCTGAAGAAATAACACTTACTGCTGTTTTGTTGTGTTTTTCTTTTCCTAGCACAATATATTTAGCAGAATTTTACAGTTCCTCACACTAGGGAAGTAACTCTGAATCCAGCTATAGCAGATCCACCCCATTCATGTCCCAAGAATTACTTAATAATCCTAAGACAAATTGAAAATCAATTAGTATTAATTTTCCTTTTAGAGGAAATATTTCCTAGTAGCTTTTAAAGAGATATCATAAATATACTATCTTTTTTTTAATATGTCTTCATGTTTATTTCTCTCAAATAGAGAGTGAGCTCCAAAAGTCAAATTTTTTCCAATTTTATTTATTGGCCAAAATTCACTTTGATAAGATAATAAACATTCACTTGACCCATAGATTGCATTTATAATGTCCTGATCATACTAATAATAATCCATATTTTATTTAACATATAACTATATACAAAAAAATTCTTACATATGTAAAGTGAGTAGGTAAATAAAATCATAGTCCAAGTTCTATTTCCAGTTTAGAACATTTCAAGAGAACACCATATTGATTTCATTGGGACCAGACTTATCTCTGTGTTCCATAAATTTTTAGTGTATCAAAAGCCCACTGCATATTCAGAGCAATCCATCAAATCTTGACAACACATAGTCTAACTTATCAAGTATAAAGTCCAAACAATGGTTCTTGAATTGCCTAACAGAGCTTAAAACAATCTTTGCAAAAAAACTATAGTTGTGTTATTGTAATATTTCATCATCTTAAAGCCAATACAGTGAAAATAGCTCAATATAGATATTTCAAAACATGCAATTTATATTCACAAGAAATTGGTACAAAAGATTCTCCAAATAATTATTTCTTGTTTGAAACCATGACTATGTTAAGTCACCATAAAGTCCAGAAATCTTTTGTTTAATTTAATCCTATATTTATTTATTTATTTATTTATTTATTTACACTACAGATTTTATTCCCCTCCCAGTCCACCCTCTGACTGTTCCACACCCTATGTTGCCACCTCCTCACCTCCCACCCCACCAGACCTCTAAACTCCCTGGGGCCTCCAGTCTTTTGAGGGTTAGATGTATCTTCAAAGCTCAGCTGAACCCCAGATAGTATCTGCCATCCTCTCAGTACCCAGTAGAATGAAGACACTTAAAGCTTAATGATTTTCTAAAGGATTTATATATTTAGAAATGTTTAGTTAACAAGATGTTCATACAATTAGAGTTGTTACACAATATCTAACCTTTTGATAGAAGTTGCTATCCAGGACAGCTTTTGACCCATCTGTGGTTCTCCATGGCTGCTAGCCTCATTCTTCTCTTCTCCTTCCTCTCTTTTCCCCTCCCCTCTTTTTCTCCCCTCTCCTTCATCCCTTCTTCTCTCAGCTCTACCTCTTCTTCTACTGCCTAATCACTGAGCTCTACTGTGAATACAATGTACCAGGATAAATATCCTGCTACAAGCTTCTTGAGATTTTTATATATTTTAGATATTAGCCCTTCTATTAGATGTGGGATTAGTGAAATATTTTCCCATTCTGTGGGTTGCCAATTTGTCCTATTGACTGTCTTTTGATTTATAGAAGCTCTTCAGTTTCATGAGGTCTCATTTATCAATTATTGATTGTTTACCTGACCCATTGATGTTGTGTTCAGGAAATTTCCACTGTGCCAATGAGTTTGAGGCTCTTTCCCACTTTTTCTTCTACACAATTCATTGTATCTGGTTTTATTTTGAGGTCCTTGATCCGCTTGGACTTGAGCTTAAAACATGGTGATAAATATGGATCTAGTTAGACTAGACTTCTAGTTAGACCAGCACCATTTATTAAAGGTTCTGTCTTTGTTTCCATTGTATGTTTCTGGCTCCTTTGTTAAAGATCAAGTGCCCATAAGTGTGTACACCTATTTCTAGGTTTTAAGTTCTATTCCATTGATTGACCTGTCTGTCTCTGTACCCGTAACATGCAGTTTTTAATCACTATTCCTTTGTAGCTTGAGGTCAGGGGTGGTGATTTCCCCAGAAGTTCTTTTGTTCTTAAGAACTGTTTTTACTATCTAGTATCTTGTTTTTTTTTTCTTTCCATATAAGATTGTGAATTGTTCTTTCCATGTCTGTGAAGAACTATGTTGAAATCTTGATGTGGATTGCACTGAATCTGTAGATTGCTTTTGGTAGGATGGCCATTTTTACTATGTTAATCCTACCAATCCATGTACATGGGTGATCTTTCCATCTTCTGAGGTCTTCTTTGGTTTCTTTTTTCAGGGATTTGAAGTTCTTATCATACAGATATTTCACTTGCTTAGTAAAATTTACACCAAGATATTTTATACTATCTGGCTACTGTTAAGGATATTGTTTCCCTAATTTCTTTCTCAGCCATTTATAACTTGTATAAAAGAAAACTACTGATTTGTTTGAGTTAATTTTATATCCAGCCACCTTGCTGAGGTTATTCATCAGCTGTAGATGTTCTCTAGTAGATTTTTTAGGGGGTTGCTTATATATACTAACAAATCATCTGCAAATTGTGATATCTTGATTCTTTCTTTGCCAGTTTGTATCCCCTTGATCTCCTTTAGTTGTATTATTGCTCTAGCTATAATTTTGAGTACAGTACTGAATAGATGCGGGGAGAGTAGTCTTGTCCCTGATTTAAGTGGGATTGCTTCAGGTATGGCTCCATTTGATTTGATATTGGCTGCTGGTGTGCTGTAAATTGCTTTTATTATGTTTAGATACAGGCCTTGAATTCCTGATCTTTCCAATACTTTTAACATGAAGGGGTATTGTATTTTAGGGTACAGAGCTAAACAGATAAAACACAACAGAGAAATCTTTAATGGTCAAGAAGCATTTAAAAAAATGTTCAAAGTCCTTAGTTATCAGTGTACATCAAATAGTACATCAAAATAACCTTGACTTTCCACCTTACACCAACTAGAATGGCTAAGATTAAAACCTCAGGTGACAGCACATGCTAGTGAGGAAGAAGAGAAAGAAGATGACTCCTACATTGCTGGTGGTATTGCAAACTGGTACAACCACTCTGGAAATCAATCTGGAGATTCCTCTGAAAACTGGAAACAGACCTACCTGAAAACCAAGCTATACAATTCTTGGGCATATTCTCAAAAGATGACCCAGAATATCAGAGTGACACATGCTCCATGATGTTGATAGCAGCCTTATTTGATAATAGCCAGAAGTTGGAAACAGATGTTCTATAACAGAAGAATGGATGCAGAAAATGTGGTACATTTACACAATAGAATATTATTTTCAGTGATTAAAAACATGAGCTTCACAAATTTTGCAGGCAAATGAATGTAACTAGAAAATATCATCCCGAGTGAGATAACTCAGACCCAAAACATGGTATGTACTTGCTAATAAATGGGTATTAGCCAAAGAGTATAGAATACTTAAGGTATAACCTGTGGAATTTTAGAACTTTAACAATCAGAAATGCCAAAAGAGGATATTTCAATCTTATTTAGTAGGGGAAAGAAAATAATCACAGGAAGCAGCAGGAGGAAGGAATTTGGGTGGGAAATGGGAGGGGGAGGGGAAAAGTGGAACAGAATCAGGTAAGAGGTAGGGGTGACAGGAGAGAAGGCCAGAGGGCCAGCAAAATGGATGGTAATATGCAGCCTCAGAGGTACAGCGACCCTCTAGAGAGTACCAGAGACACGGGAGGTCACTCCCAGGATTTAATGGAAGTGACCTTACATGAAGTGCCCAACAGAGGGAAAGAGGGAACGTGAAGAGTCTACCTCCAATAAATAAATAGGGCTTCAAGAGGAGGGATGGTATTACCAACCCACAATCAAAATTTCTTGCCAAGAAGTGTTCCATTCTAAAAGAACTGCAGGGACAAAAAAGGAGAGGAGACTGAAGGAAAGGCTATTCTGTGACTGGCCCAACTGGAGATGTACCTCATGGGGAGGCACCAAGGCCTGACACTATTACTGATGCTATTATGTGCTTATAAACAGGAGCCTTGTCTGACTGCCCTCTGAGACACCCAACCAACAGCTGACTGAGACAGATGCAGATACTTACACCCAGTGGACTGAAGTGATAGACCCCTATGGTTGAAAACAGCAGATGAAGAGAGCAACCCTTAGAAAGACCAGTAGTCTTCTATCTTGCCTGGACCCCTGGGAGCTTCCAGG